TAGGTCTACCCATGCCGCCGTTAGTCATGAGGATTGATTGACCAGACGTCACTTCGCCGGTCCGTGCTGGATGGTGAAGGGGAGAGGGTGTTCAAGATGGCACTGATGTTGGACCTGGCTGGATATGGAATGTGGGTCACCCGGTTTGTAGTGCAGCACGCGAGCCACTGCCCCACCGCTTGCGCCCTTGCAAGCAACGCGTCCCAGCGGTAGTGGCTACGCTGCCTTTTGCAGAGCTGCACGGTTTGAATCCAGTGGCGGCCCTAGTTATTCCTGTCATTAACCGCTCAACACACGCGTGGTCTGCTTCGCATTGCACGTTAAAGATCCCGTGACATTTGCAAGAGAAGGCCAAATTTAAAATGACCCGCAAAATCTGTGGGACTCTACACGTAGCAATCACTGCCTTACCGACCGGCAGACTGATGGCTGTTTATAGGCCAAGTGCTGAGTCGCTTTGCGTGTACAGGGACAGCTGCCACTGGGGGTGCCTTTTTCAATGTTTGAGAGGAGCTGCCATAGAAAGTGCTCCTACACGACCTGGCCAACAGGAGGGCGTGAGATCAAAGACAAATAATTACCCTATGTAACGCAATCTTTGTTCCTGGGTAGTGTTATTTCGTTATTGCTTATGCCTAATAAGTATATATAATGGCAATTATTCCCCACAAACTTTGCTTTTGTGACCAGAACAGTGATATTTTGAACTGTACCTATTTTCAATTAGAAATAAGGGCAAATTTGTGTCCTTTCGTTCTCATAGTCAGAAAAAACAACATTAATCAAAATTAAGATTCATTTATACTAAAGTAATACAAAAATGACCAGAAAAGATTTAGAAGTGAATAGTTTTTAGAGATTTACGATTAAACTGTAAATCACTTTCACGAATCAGCACCCAATGTAGTCTCCCATCATGTTCTCGTTATACTGTCCTTGGTAGCGATGTTCAAAGTCCAGTTTATCCTGGTGGAAGCGCTCACCTTGCTCCTCCGAGTACGCTCCCATGTTCTCCTTGAATTTATCAAGATGAGCATCAAGGATATGGACTTTGAGGGACATCCTACATCCTATTGTGCCGTAGTTCTTCACCAAAGTCTCATTCCAGCTCCACATAGTTTTTGACCTTGTGATTGCCCAGGAAGCCACTAACCACTGCGACAAAATTGTTCCAAGCCGCTTTCTCCTTACTAGTGAGCTTATTGGGGAATTCATTGCACTCCAGGATCTTCTTTATCTGTGGTCCGACGAAAACACCGGCTTTGACCTTTAGCTCAGCTTAGGGAAGAAGTCTTGAAGGTACTTGAAGGCTGCCCAACTCCTTATCTACAGCTCTTACAAATTGTTTAATAAGGCCCAATTTGATGTTCATTGGTGGCATCAGCACCTTCCGGGGGTCCACCAGTGGCTCCCACTTGACGTTGTTCCTCCCCACAGAGAACTTGGTCCGCTGCGGCTAGTCCCGCCCGTGTTAGTGCGCCTTGGTGTCCCTGCTCTCCCAAAGGCAAAGATAGCAGGGAAACTTGGTAAAACCGCCTTGGAGACCCATCAGGAATGCCACCATTTTTAAGTCTCCGATGACCTCCCAGCCATACTCATCATACTTCAAGGCGTCCAGCAAGGTCTTGATGCTGTTGTAATCCTCTTTGAGGTGCACCGAGTGAGCCAGGGGAAGAGACGGGTACTTTGTTACCATTATGGAGCAGCACGGCTTTGAGGCTCCTGGATGAACCGTCAATGAAGAGGCGCCACTCATTCTGGTTACAGGCAATTCCGATTGCCTCAGACTGGTCACATTGTGGCAGAAGCAGAGCCCATCTTGACGAGTGAAAAAGCTGCAAAAAGGTTGGTGACGCTTCCTCTGATCTGCAACTTGCACACTTTTATCCAACAAGTTCCACTGCTTGAGCCGAGACGTCAAAAGCTCGGCATTGAACTTGGTGAGACCAAGATCTCTGATCAAGTCGTTGAGGTGTTTTTGGTTGGGGTAGTATGGGTTTCTCTCCTCAGCTCCACCTCTGAAATTGCCATCTGGATCTACATCTTCCTCGCTCTGACTTGCTGCTCTCTTCTAAAGACGGCTACTCTCTCTCCGGAAGAGTGGGTACGGAGAGCTCATGGCAGTGTGGCACCAGGGTACGTGATATCAGGTGCACTCTTGCCAGTCTGACGTTTGGAAGGGTCCACCATGCAGAAGTAGCATTTGCTTGAGTGGTTGGTGGGTTCCCACCAAATTCTTGGGATAGCGAACTTCATGGCTCTCTTTTCCCCTCTGTATCATCCTACAAAAATATTTATTTCACCCATGACTGTCTTAGAGATTCTCACAACATTTTTCATGTATGATATATTTTTTCAATAACATTGAAAATTGTAAAACATTTTTAAATTAAAAGCTTTTGCAATTTTTCGAATTTTAACAAATTTTATAACTTAAAATTCCGAGCAACAATTGTCCATCTTACCGTCCAGAGTTTTTTTGCATTGCTCGCAGGTTAAATGAGGTGCCCAGGGTTTGTCTTGATCCCCAACAGGCATGCCGAAATATGCCTTGTAGGCCTCACACATCTTAGCAGATGCTTCCACAGAGTACTTTTTCACTCTTGTCTTGATAAATTGGCAACAGACAGAGCAAAATGCGTCTGCTGGATGCTTGCAACCTCTTGATGGCATCTCAGAAAAATACAGATATGTATCTACTTGGGCAGCTGTAACTAAACTGAACTGGAGGGCCCCTGTATTTATGCTACTATTTATATTCCCGGAAAGTTCTAGAATGTTCTAGAAGTTACTCCAAGTTTACTCAGCACTGAATCTATCTGGAATGTTCTGGAAAATAGGTAAATTTCTAAATATCACTATCCTGGTGACAAAAGCAAAGTTTGGGAAATAATAGGCATTTTCTGTACTTTTGAAGCATAAGCAATTTGGAAATAACACGACCCAGGAACATAAAAAAATTGTTATACAATGTTATCACTGATGTTGGTCAACTCTTCGGATGTTTCTCTATCTAATTTCCCATACAATGGCAATATTTCCTCCCAAGCAACTGGTGTGGACGAGAATTATTAAATTGAACACGTAGGCTTTCGCGAGCAATATTTTAAATGATTATTTCACATTGACTTAAAACTTTCGTGTCTGCAGGAATTCATATTCTTGGTTCTTTCAGTAAAGTCATGTAGATAGAAAATAAAATAAATAAATAAAAAGCAAAAAACCCAGGATGAAAACCGCTTGTGTTGCGATCGAAACGTCGTGGGTTTTTTGCTTTTATTTTTTATTTAATTTATTTTTTATTTTATTTTATTTTCTATCTACGTGACTTTACCGAAAGAACCAAGAATATGATTATTTCACACTTGCAGTGATGCCATCACCTTACTCCAAGACCAGAAACAGGTAGACTGTCGTGATGCTGGCAATCGCCTGATGATGCTGCTTGTTATAAACTTGGTTCGAAGCTTTCGTGACTGCAGGAATTAATCTTTGTTTTTTTCGGTAAAGTGACGTATAAATAAGAAATAATAAAATAACATAATAGCATACGACGTTTCGGTTGCAACACAATGTCTGTGTGTGTGCCGTCTGTATCTTGGGTTTCGTGGTAAACTTGCAATTTAGCAATCTTTGGGGTGGCGTGATCAACCAGGCTATGCGTTGGTTGCGTTTTGCCGACCGTCTGTGTTGCTTTGTGTGGTTTCCAAGTTCTGCTGGGCTCTGTCTGTTTGGTGTGCTTCTCTCTCTCTGTGTCCCCTGTTGTGTCGGTGTTGGTTCCCCCTGCTTGTTTGTCTGTGTATACATCTGGGGTTGTGTGTTTCCCCTCTCTCGTAAGTTTAGCTCTTCTGTACCTGATGATGGCTGCTTGTGTTGCAACCGAAACGTCGTACGCTATTATGTTATTTTATTTCTTATTTATACGTGACTTTACCGAAAAAAACAAAGATTAATCTGCTTGTTATAATTGCCAGCGAAACGTTAACTCAAATGGTAAACGTTGTGGGTTTACTGTCCAACACAACCGGTTGGTGCGGTAGTAGTAACTAATTAGCAAGTTTTTATTCACCACATGACAAACGGTACTGATTGGCTGTGTCGAGTGGAGGTGGGTTACACGAAACGTTTACATTTAAGCGATCTAACGGATCAAAACACTTTATTATGAATAATGATTTAAGCCACCGTGTGCAAACAGGGGCGTGCGATACAAAAAGGAGCGAGCACAGTTTTGATCACGTGAACGTACGAGCGTGCTGGCTGGAGGCAGACGTCCCAGAGAGGCTTTCTACTGACAGCTGCGGTGAGAGGGAGCCACCAAACAAAAATAAAAGACAGGTGATGACAGTACTTCATTTGTCACTGGAAAATCCTCTGTAATAGTTTGACTAAGTAGCCGAGAAGCCTGCACTGAACGTTTAACAAATGGCTTTTGTAATTGTGCTCCCCAGACCCTCCCATGTTAAATCAGAATATGTATACTGGAGACATAAACGGGAAAGGTGCAGCTCTGCAATTGCTTACACCACTGCTGGCAGACGGGCCTCCACCAGAGGGAGCTTTCGACCGCCACTCTACATGGCATTTGTAGATGTGTTGAACTTCTTTCGCACCGTACGTAGCCAACCGTGCTAATCAGCGGTGCGGGGGAAGGACTACAAACGAAACACTAAAAGCAGTTCTAAAGAATTTGAGTTTCCAATGTAGATTTAAAAGTACACAGCTCCAGTGGCTTCCTAATCTCGTAAGGAAGAGCGTGCCAGAAGCGCATCTGAAAGTTCGCGATGCAGCGACACTTCCATGCATAACTACGATAGATCCCACTTCAGATTGTAAGTATAAGATCACGGGGCACCATGGTGGCGAGATGTTATCTCCATTGGCTGGTATGCAGGAGGTCGTGGGTTCGATACCGACCTGAATACCTGCTGTATATTTAGAGTGTGCATGTTCTCCCCGCGGTCACGTGGGTTTTTCTCCAGGTCCTCTGGTTTTTCCCTTGACATTTAGAAACGTGTTTAGAGTATGTCACTGCTACATATTTCCACGTGATAAGCCACTTCGTTGAGCTATCATTTGTGGCCAAGTGGCCAGGTCGCTTCTGAAAAAGAGCTAATAGCTCAGTGTAATCTGCCAATTAACTGGTATACCCATTTAAACTGGCGGATAGACAGGGGCAGGGCGTTTTAAGAAACTCGCACCATTGTTTTGAATTGAGGTGGCGACCTCCGGATCAATCCATAGGCCACTCTGATGATCATTCCCTCATGGCGACATCCTCCTAGTAATAAATGTTTCACCTCGGTAACTCCACCAGCTACACTTTTAAATGGAAGACAATTCTGACTAACAAAAAGCATGCTCATTTTACGAGTTACGCAGGTTACTTTTTTCCCCAGACATCAAGAGGACGTCGCTGGTAAAATCCCTCGCGGATCTTCGCGTTAGTCCAGCGGGACGATGGCGTCACTCAAATCGCAGTCAGGGCCCGGTCCCTCCTCCGGGTCGTCGACGGCGCCCAGGAAGGCAACGTAGGTAGCGTTGCTTCGCACGAGCGGCTTGTTGGGATTGGACTGCACCTGCACGGCAAGGGGGCATGCAGGTGAGGGGGGAGCGTGGCGGGAAACCGGCCGGGGCAGCGGCAAGGGTTCGAGTTCGTCAGCTGGTAGGGAACAAGGTGGTAATGAGGAGCGCACCACCCCTATCAGCTCGGTTGGCTACGTTCGATGCGAAACAAGTTGAACGTATATCCGTGGAGGAGCGGGTCGCACCGAGCATAGCTGCCATGCCACGTGGGCCGTGTAATGATGTCCCAATTCATGTTTGTTGTTGTACCTTGCACACAAAGCATTCCTGTGTTATAAATCAGTTTCATGAATGCTCTTTTTAAATGTTGCGCAAACCAACGCAATGAGAGCAGGACCACTGCAAACCATCACCGAGTCATTTACTGAGACCTGTACCCTCAATTCACGAGCCAGCTTGATTTTAGTGCAAGTTTTATCACCGTGGCGTGTTTTCAGATGCAGTCGCATTGTTATGCCATGAATTCTAATAGCAAAAGTAATTTGAGTAACAATGGGCACAGGCTACAATTGGAGGATGCAGTGTCTTGAGTGATCGCGTGTCCATGTCTCCCCTGCGTCTCGCCCTGTCTCCGTGTCTTCACGAGTTTTACCATCTCTGCGCGTCTCTGTGTCTCAGCCCAGAGCCCCACCTGCTCGAGACGCAGCGCCCCGAAGGGATTGCTGCCGTGGGACAGGACGCGCACCTCCAGCTCGCGCAGGATCTGCAGCGAAGGCTTCAACTCGGCCTCGCTGCACAGAGCCCACGTCAACACCGACGCAAACGTCAATAACAACACCGCCAAACTAATCGACAACAGCACTAAGGGCAGCACAAGATACTAGCATCAAAAGCACCGCAATGTCACCAACTCGTGGCGTGGGTACCACAACAGCGTGAACAGAACAAATACAAACCGAACACCAACGTCAAAAACCCGGAGCTGGACGCCATTGCAGACTGGAGCCAAATTTCTCGCGGCCGATTTCCATTCTTTTCGCAACACTTGAATTAGGGCCGGGTATAATTCACCAAACGTAACGATCAAAAAAATGTCATTGGTGGCGGGAACGTTTAATTTTTAAATTAGCGTTGAGTCGTTCCACCACCGCTGTCTTAAAGGTTCGGGAGAATTTCTGGGAATAACCTACGGGTATGGGACTGGGGGAGAGCGCCAACTCGCGGAATAGCTGAATTATTTTTCCTACCAACTTGAGTCAACTCGCCTTGGCTACCCATGAAAACCAGGAATCGGCGGAGGGCTTGTCCAATGATCTTGGCAAGCCGAGTTTATTTCCTGGCCATGTTGTTCAGCGTCTGTGGCAAATCATGTCTGAACTTGCCCTAGACCACCACTACGTCAGCTCCGGCTGAACAAGTACCTGATGCGGTGTCTGCAGCACTGGGGAGATGGACAACTAGGTATGCTTGATTCTAGTTACAACAGCCCATCACACATGTGCCCTGCAGGTCTTAAAAGGTGCTTTGCTTACAGCAATTTCCACAACATTGTTTATCAGGTTAAGAGAAAAATTTGCCCTTGTTTACTATATTACAGACCAAACATGTACGTGGTAAATAAAGGCAATGGTTACTGAAGATGCGGAGCAGCATTGCGTGGCTCACCTGTACATGGTGAAGAAAGAGGGGATGTTGTAGTCTCTAAGGAGCAGCAGGGTTGGGAACCAGCCCTCGACTAGGCCCTTGTTGGCATGGAAACCTAGGCCCAGCCAAGAACACGAAGCCTGCTTTAGCATGAGCAGCCATGCATGCACAACCGTGTCAAGCTTTTTTTAAAATCTAAACATGAGAATGACTTGGCAATGAGCTAATGATGTTGAACAAATTCATAAAATGTTATCTGTGCACTCATATGAAATCACAACTCTATTAACCCGGCCATTGTAATGGTTAAGGGTCACTGATTATGGGAATGCATTGTCCCAGTGGATTCGAGTGGCTCTTCTGCAGCCAACAGGCGAATCGATGGCGAATCTGTGAATGCTCTTTTGGGATTGCGCTACAAACTCGATGACAGTTGACACTCTACTCTTATTTAAGAATAGTCTGCTTGAGATGTTTCATAAATATATAGAATTCATTTGGGAATTTTAACATATTTGTACGAACTAAAGGCTCCATAGAAAATCACACATACAAGAGACAACATTCCCACGACAAATGCGCAATATGCCAACTTGCTGTACGACCTGCACTGCAAGTGGGTGTCACGCACACACGCTCGGTGACTCATGGTCTGATTTGTTGACTGGATGTGGCTGCCTGGTTATGTCTGAATTACAGACGCGTTAACGTGTCAGATTTTCCTGGAAGCACTCATTACGCCCTTGAGCTGCTGCCGGCTGACCTCGGGGGTGAATAACGTAGGCAGTGTACGAGCGCTGCGATCTGATAAATCACGCAAACATCCACGCTAACCTCCATGACCATGGGCGTCCTTTGTTTTAAGAGAGGTGACAGCTGCCAGTTCCAGATTCCGTTCCCTTTTGAGGCTTAATGGCGCTGGCATGCAAGTGCCGCATCATCGGCTATTGCCCGTGTATATTAACTCGGATGCTGGGCCAGGGCAACTGGCGCATAGGTCTGCCAACTGTAAAATTTACTTAATTTATGAATGTATCGCGTGTCCTGCACGATAACCCCAATGCCGGTTGAAGGCACAGCGCTGTGCACCTTATACATGCTTCATAAAATCAAACGCTGGTCTGTGTCCTTTCGATCGGTGTCTGCGGACAGGCGACGTTGCCTCGGCATGCCTGGGTGGAAGCTCACGACGAGTGATGGCCGCGCAGCACGGCCGGTCTCCACCAGAGTCTCCCAGTAGTCGTGGTAGAGACCCTTCCAGCCGCTCATGTACACCGTGCCTGGTTCGGCTCCTGCCTGCAGCGGAGTCCGAGTCATGGTGCCCTCCACCACCTCGGGGCCGATCATCACCACCTCCACGCCCCGGTGCTGCGTGCACCATACGCGCACCGCACATACCGTGCATACCGGATGCTTATGCCACACGTTCATCATGGTGCGCAAGGGAAGGAGGAGCGCTGTGTGCGTTGGGGGCGTCTGGAGTCAGATCAGGAAAGTGGCTGTGGTGCAAGAGCAGCTGAAACAACGTTTGTGACTCTTCTTAAAATATATCTTCAGGGACCCTCTCGTGGACCTCATCTCATGAGATTAGTGACATTAATCCGTCCTCTGCACCTCCGATTAGCACGGTTGGCTACGTACGGTGTGAAAGAAGTTAAACATATATACAATCTGTGCAATGTCAGCCACTAGCCTCACTCCCATGCCAATGCAATGGGATGCAACAAATTGGCTCTAATGTGTAAATTGAACAATTCAGGAATGCGACCATATTTATGACACCTCCAAGGCACTGTCTGGCTCAGGGAAACCAGTACAAGATGAGGAAAAGGAGGAGGACAAGAGGATGAGACTGGGAAAAGGAGGACAAAGAGAAGGGACAGCAGCTGGGGGAGCTTGCTGTACCTGTGGGAACATGCAGCCCAGCTCGTCGTAGTCGGTGAGGCGTGTGTCCAGCGTCTCGGTGTGCGACGCCCCAGCCACGTGCACCGTGACGGGGCCATGCCGCGGGTCCAGGCCGAAGCGCCGTAGCGCGAACCCCACGGTGAGCGGCCGGGAGAGCGCGTCGCTGAGCACGCGCCGCGTCGACGCCAGCAGCTCAGCGTCGTCGGGCCGCGGCTTGCCGGCGTTAGCCCACAGCAGGCCCATGTAGCGGCACGCCAGCACAGCGCGCAGGGCGTCCTCCCCGCTGCCCGGCTGCATGGACAGCCAGTCGTCCCAGCCGCGCACCTCATCCGCCTCGCGCGGCCACGCGCCGCTCGTGAACGGAAGGTTCCCTGCGCCGGGAACGCATCGCTGTCACCTCAGTGCCGTGGCTGGGTAAACATGGGGCCCGCTGAGCTATGTAGCTCTTTTTCAGAAGCGACCTGGCCACAAATGATAGCCTAAAGACGTGGCTTATCGTCACGTGGAAATGTACAGCAGCCAAATATTCTAAACGCGTGATGTTGATTCGAAATGTGAAGGGAAAAACCAGAGGACCCGGAGAAAAATCCATGCGACCACGGGGAGAACATGCAAACTCCAAGTATACAGTAGGTGTCGGGGTTGGGATCAAATCCACGACCTTCTGTATACCAGGTGAGATAGTTACCATCTCGCCACCGTGGCACATCGTGGGTTGGGTTGGCCCCCATTGCAATTGACACAATGGCAAACGTTTCCAACGAAAATCAGAGAGGCAATTCCCAAACACGGTGCAAGGTGCTGAATGTGTACGTCCATCGCCAACAGCTGGGATTGGGGTGACCGCGGGCCCTTCTGTTATCATTGATATTTAAAGAGGTGACGCGCTGAGCTAAACTTAACCTCATTATGATCGCATGCCTGCAGTCACTTCAGGTTAAGCTCGCGCCGCTCAGATTGTTTTGTCCCTAATCCTGACCTCGGTCAAATGCTACTGCAAGCCTCCAGCCCATCACGTGGCACTCATCGGCATGAGTGGTCCATTCCACGAACGTGAAGTCTGCTCCCACGTCGGGGGCGATGAGTGAAAGTCAACAGTGTGACCTCCTGCTGGGATTAAATCTGAGCCTATCTCTTGATTGATATTGCTCTTCTGTGTACACCTCGCTCTCCAACCTTCCTTTGTCTCTTATACCACCACTGCCATGAGCAGTGTCTAATAAAGTCAGAATCTAAAGTAATAAAGTCCTCATATTATTCCAGCCATCTGTCGACCCACCCCAGTTGCCAACCTCTGTTCATATTGTTGCGCCAATTGTATTTTTTTGCCTACCCTGCCTTTGGGCTCGCCAGACCAATATTATCCGGTTTAAACGAGGACACTTTGGACTGGTTTCAACCATCTTGGTCTCACCAAGATTCCTGCAATGTGTTTGTAGGTTGTATACCGCACGTTGCTCGACACAAAGTCCGATGTTTTGCTCCATGCGCCAGGAGAAGCTCCCAGGATACGAAGCTCCTGGCACACTAAGCTTAGCATTGGACAATGTGCTGGACAGCACGCGGTACCAACCCAGAACCCACGCGGTGCCAACCCAGAGCCCACGTGGTACCAACCCAGAGCCCACGCGGTACCAACCCAGAGCCCACGTGGTACCAACCCAGAGCCCATGCGGTACCAACCCAGAGCCCACGTGGTACCAACCCAGAGCCCACGTGGTACCAACCCAGAGCCCACGCGGTACCAACCCAGAGCCCACGTGGTACCAACCCAGAGCCCACGTGGTACCAACCCAGAGCCCACGTGGTACCAACCCAGAGCCCACGTGGTACCAACCCAGAGCCCACGTGGTACCAACCCAGAGCCCACGTGGTGTCAACCCAGAGCCCACGCGGTACCAACCAGAACCCACGCGGTGCCAACCCAGAGCCCACGCGGTACCAACCCAGAGCCCACGCGAGGCCTGTGCAGTGCAATCGCTGCGTCAAGCTCGCTATACAGACGATCTTATCCGTGAGAGCACTCCATCTTTGACAATGGGGCCCTGTTCAATGGGGATTGCACTCGCAAAGAAGGTTGCTGACCTTCGGTAAGCATCTTTATACTACAGCGACTGCACGGGGAATTTGACAAACGATGGAGGTAGAGCCCAGACCTGTGAAGATGAGCCATTCCACCAGACGGTCAATGGCCGCGTGTTTCAGCTTCTTGCAGAACTTCTTGTGCAGCGGCCAGTTGGCTCTCTGGCACTCGGTGCCACAGTAGTACACGTTCTGACACCTTCAGCAGTGGGAGGCACAGGTGACACACATATTACAAACACCCGCCTGAAACGTCAGGCTCTTAGCATTGAATTGTGTTCATGTACAGCCCTCTGTCGCTCCACTGCTGGATGGGGGCCTTCAGACACTGTGCAGGCCCGTGGGGGTTTGTTGGCCACACGTCAACATGCTGGGCCGTGTGGCTTGGTGAAGGTGAGGTGTAAAGAGATTGGGAGCACAGCACAGCAATGGATCTTCATGCACTGCCCTCTGCTGACAATCCAGTACTGCTAAATTCTACAAGAATTTTCCTGGCCGAAACCGGCTTAGCTTCTGAGATCTCCTGTCTACTGCAGAGTTGGATGTCGTTTCATGAGTCACCAACTCTACTGCTAAAGCACTGGATGACCGGCCTGCATCATCTCCACCATGCCCAGCAAAAGAGGTATCACCGATACTGTAACCTTTTACAAGGTAGCCCTACATAATCCAGTCTACAGCCACACGCACGCTTACGTTCTCTGCCCGAGAGCAGGTTCCTGGCCCAAGCTCCCTCCATCCCATCCAATGGCACTCCCCTTCATCTCACGACACCGTTTGATTTCTTGAGACATAATTAGGGAACGATGGTGGAGATAGTTTCCCTGGGCTGGCAGGAGGAAGCCACCTCAACCATCCTTCCCCCGGTGAGATCAGATGGCGTGCTAGGCGGAGCGAGAGCCATGAACCTGCCCTTGGAGAGAACACTTCAAAATGAGGCGGGCCGCTGTTAACCCAAACCAGCATTCGGCAGCCACCGTTTGCAGCGTGCCAGCGTCCTCCCCGCGGGGAGGCCGTCCGGCAGCTTCTTGCAGTGGGCGCAGAAGGTGTAGGTGTCCTCGATCTTGCGGAACATGTCCCGGTACGTGTGGATCCCAAACTCCGTGAGGCTTTTCTTCCCCTGCAGCGCCATCCTGCATGCGATGTACACGGACGCCACAGTCAGGAACGAGGGATTCGTCATCGTTAGCCCCCCCCCCCCCCTTGATGCTCAGCCGGTGAGTTTGCACCATCGTGGATGATTAAGTGGACGGGTGAGTTCGCCCCAGTCAACGGACAATTGAGCGGGATAATTATTGTAAGAGCGAGTTGGTGAGTGAGATAATGGAAGAGCGAGTTGGTGAGTGAGATAATGGAAGAGCGAGTTGGTGAGTGAGATAATGGAAGAGCGAGTTGGCGAGTGAGATAAAGGAAGAGCGAGTTGGTGAGTGAGATAATGGAAGAGCGATTTTGTGAGTGAGATAATGGAAGAGCGAGTTGGTGAGTGAGATAAAGGAAGAGCGAGTTGGTGAGTGAGATAATGGAAGAGCGAGTTGGTGAGTGAGATCATGGAAGAGCGAGTTGGTGAGTGAGATAATGGAAGAGCGAGTTGGTGAGTGAGGTAATGGAAGAGCGAGTTGGTGAGTGAGATAATGGAAGAGCGAGTTGGTGAGTGAGGTAATGGAAGAGCGAGTTGGTGAGTGAGGTAATGGAAGAGCGAGTTGGTGAGTGAGGTAATGGAAGAGCGAGTTGGTGAGTGAGATAATGGAAGAGCGAGTTGGTGAGTGAGATAATGGAAGAGCGAGTTGGTGAGTGAGATAATGGAAGAGCGAGTTGGTGAGTGAGATAATGGAAGAGCGAGTTGGTGAGTGAGGTAATGGAAGAGCGAGTTGGTGAGTGAGGTAATGGAAGAGCGAGTTGGTGAGTGAGATAATGGAAGAGCGAGTTGGTGAGTAAGATAATGGAAGAGCGAGTTGGCGAGTGAGATAATGGAAGAGCGAGTTGGTGAGTGAGATAAAGGAAGAGCGAGTTGGTGAGTGAGATAATGGAAGAGCGAGTTGGTGAGTGAGATAATGGAAGAGCGAGTTGGTGAGTGAGATAATGGAAGAGCGAGTTGGTGAGTGAGGTAATGGAAGAGCGAGTTGGTGAGTGAGATAATGGAAGAGCGAGTTGGTGAGTGAGGTAATGGAAGAGCGAGTTGGTGAGTGAGGTAATGGAAGAGCGAGTTGGTGAGTGAGGTAATGGAAGAGCGAGTTGGTGAGTGAGATAATGGAAGAGCGAGTGGGTGAGTGAGGTAATGGAAGAGCGAGTTGGTGAGTGAGATAATGGATGAGCGAGTGGGTGAGTGAGGTAATGGAAGAGCGAGTTGGTGAGTGAGATAATGGAAGAGCGAGTGGGTGAGTGAGATAATGGAAGAGCGAGTTGGTGAGTGAGGTAATGGAAGAGCGAGTTAGTGAGTGAGATAATGGAAGAGCGAGTTGGTGAGCGAGTGGGTGAGGTAGTGGATGAGTGAGAGAACGCATTTGATTAGCGAGTGAATGAGTAATTGAGTGTGCACGTGCGTTGACGAGTGAATGAGCGCTTCGGTGAATCTGCCTGCGAGTGGGTGGTTGGGTGAGGGAGTGGCTGGGTGAGCGCTTCGGTGAGTCTGCGAATGAGTGGTTGGGTGAGTGAGTGAGCGGGTGAATTGGCACTCGGCCTGCCTGTAGTCATCGAAGCCGCTGAGGTTGAGTTTTCGCAAGATGACTCCGGAGAGTCCGGGCACCGCCGCGTCCATGGCAGCGAAGCCCGCGGTGTCCGTGAAGACGCCGCCGCGGTCCCCGTCGGCCGCGGCTCCTCCCGGGACCCGCCTGCCCGGGACCCGTTCCCAGGTAGGACACGAGGGCAGCCCGACACGAGACGATTGTGTCAACTTTAAACGCGCCGACTGGTCGGAGTCGCTCACTCTCATACAGCTATAGGACGACCACGGACAAGCGGGAAGGCAGCAGCCACGCAGCGCCAATAATTGGCCAAGCTCTGCGGTCCTCTATATACGTGGATGTTATCGGCCAATGAATGATGGGTTTTTACACGTGGGAGGAATCCGGAACACTGTAGGAAACTCACACACGTGCGAGGGGGAAACACGCTATCCGACACGGGCCGAACAGGTAGAAGAATCATCATTCTTACCCCCTTCTCGCGGCGAGCCAGGGGTACGGCACCACCTCGACGCCTACGGGAAGGGAGTTTCGCGACATTCGTGTGGTGATCCACTAACCCTCTCTGCTGCCTCGCCAGTGCAGTGCTGGATCATTGGCCCCGGGCATAGCAACAATGCCGGGCTAATTACTGGAAGCCACTGGCGCGATTCACTTTGTAATCTACATTGAAAACTCGCTTCTGCAGAACTGCGTTTTCTATTGTTTGTCGTCCTCCCGCACCTCCGATTAGCACGGTTGGCTACGTACGGTGCGAAAGAAGTTCAACACATCTACAAATGCCCTACCCGCACCTCTTTAGTTTCGGACTAGAATATATTTGCCTAAAGTGACGTAAAACTAATATCATACCGGAATGTGTCAATGTATATGAAGACGTAATGTAGTTTAAAATGTACATTGAATGCACTAGCCTGTGATATATAATTGTCTATGAAGTATGATTTAATTGCAAGAGAAAACCGTGGTGGTTCAGTGGGGCAGTGGTTGGCGCACTGCGCTGTCAACCCCGGACACTTGAATTCGCTTCCTAGACGAGGTGAATAACAGCGCATGGTAAACAAAACCCTTGTTCACCAACCCACAATCACCAACGTGGTGATGTATGGCCAAACAAACCCCACGATCGACACGGATTGTGACACATTTCTGGCACCAATCTTTTACGTGATCAGGTAACCTTTATTTAATGCGTGATTTGAAGAGTATGTGGCTTGCGAGCACATGGCTATACATGGCACCCAGTTTTAGTTGACGACCGCAACATTGGATAGCATTGCCCCTGCACGCTGCCCCTGCACGCTGCCCCGTGACATCCGTCGGACGTGGCCGCAAAAGACTGCAAAGAACGACGCATGCCTTGATACAAAATATGCGTGCAAGAATCATCATCATTATTGTTAATGCCATCATCAGCGCAATACAAACGGTCAACCTCATCAACACTACCACAATCACTATGGCAATATCATCCTAATAATGACCACAATCATCATAATCACCATCATCAATACCATAATCCACAACGATCATCCGATCAACCCTCGCTAATGGCGCATGACTACCCTTTGATTTCACGATACCGTGAAAGCTATACACTTTGCAGTCAGATCGAGTCAAATGAGCGAGACGTGGGAGAGAGATTAAGCGTCTTTAGAACAAAATGTAACTCTTACCCGGGTTCGGGCATCAGTGAGGAGTGCTCCATGCCCGCAAGCTGACGGCGACTGATGGGTGGTGTTGGCGGGTGGTGGCAGAAACAGTTATCAGCTCCAAGTTGGGTTGCACCTTCAGACGGGGTGTGTGAGCCCTGCCCCCGCGTCCTGCCATGAGCGGGCAACGCTCCCGAGCTTAAATTCTCATCCCGTGCCACGACCTCCCAAGCCCTGGGTGTCAATCACTCCGCCGCGCCCGATGTTATTGGTGCAGCTGTTTGTATTTTTAGCCCGCGCTTGGCTTGCGTAAAGCGAGTGGAGGCTTAGCAGTACTTGCAGGATATATATTCTAGATTTGAAGCTTTCGTGACTGCAAGGATCCATACTCTTTGGTTCTATTCGGTAAAGTCACGTAGGTAAAAGTAAAACAAAAAACACGTTTCGGCCACAACACAAGCGGCCTTCATCAGGTGAAGGGACCAGACTGTCTCGTGGCACATTTAAAACACGCTTCCATGGCCTCACAAGCTAGAAATTGGTTTCAGAGGTTTGCATTGCTCGCACTTTGTAAGATAAAATGGAGTACTGTATTGCTTAACTTTAATTGCCAATATATGTTGCGGTCCATTGGCTATATGTTATACCAAGCGTGGTTACATGGGTTTCACCTGAAATTTTAAAATCCAGAATAAGTTTTTTTACCCTTTTTTCTGGCAACAAAACTGAAACCTTTTTTTTTACAAGGAATCATGTTTACATTAACCACAATACCTGTGGTCAGAATGCAAACAAAAACACTGATAATGTATGCATTGCCCTTGAAATTGATTGATCCACACCAGAGACAGCTTTCCTGAGAGCCTAGTCTCATACGGTGTTCGACCAGATGACGCCAAAATGCTTACCCTGAGCCCTCATTACTCTGATAGTGCGTTGTCGTTGAGTTGTGCGCTTTTTGGCGTCATCTGGTCGAACACCGGATGAGACTCGGCTCTAAGGAAAGCTGTTTCTGGTGTGGACCAATCAATTTTAAGGGCAATGCATACATTGTTTTTGTTTGCATTCTGACCGCAGGTATTGTGGTTAATGTAAACATGATTCCTAGTAAAAAAAGGTTTCAGTTTTGTTGCCAGAAAAACGGGTAAAAAAAGCTATTATATTTTGGTACTGGAAAAGGAGGCCTCCTGATGTAAATGCTTACCCAGGATCATGTTTTCACCCAATAGGTTTCAGCAGCGCCACTTGACTCCAGTTCAATTGTCCAATGCGTGGCCTCGCCAAGAGGTGCCGGTGTCGCGGTCGGCACGCGTTAATCCCAGCCTTGCCCTCGTCTTGCTATTTTAAGACCACAGCAGTTGTAACTTAAGGCTTCGGTGAAACAACTCATTTTAAGGTTATGTTTAATTACTGAATCTTGCAAGTTAAAAACCATTTCAGAGTAAAGGAAATTCACAACAGCAAATATATACGAAAAGCAATTGCGGTTTTGCTTTTGTTACACATGGACTGTACAATGAGACCAATCATTTAAATACTTAATTTAAACCATTGGACCTGTTTTATTCAAAATAAACATACAATGCTGCAGTTTTGACAACTTTGATATAGTTGAACCTTTTCCCGGGAACAACACGTACTCGGAGAAAAACCCAACTTAACGCAGATTTTTTTTTCTGCAGGAGGCAACGCGTGTATGAATCATCTCTCACATGTGACCAACTCGGCCTGATGTGCCTGACCTCCTCAGAGCTTGGAAGCTCAGCAGACTTGAGCTTGGAGATTGGATGGGAGATCACCATGCATAATTAACAAGTTGTCATAGGAGCTATGAGGCTACGTGGACAAGGGGCAGTGCAGCAATACCCATCGTTGTACAGGTATCCCTCGATTTACGAGCGTTCGGTTTGCGAACATTCGGGGTAACAAAACTGACCAATTACGGATACTTTTCGATGCACAAAATTTCACAAGCACCCGGGAGGCTGCGTCGTGATCCATCCGCAATAGCGTTGCGGTGTCCCGACAGCGCTACAGCAACGCCTCCACAGCCATCAGCTTGCCAGTCAATCCAACACGCAGATCTTTTGAATTCCCTTAAAAGGTTGTCATTTGATATTACTTATTAATCAATCGTTCATGTTTCCATTCCTTATTTTTGTATTAAGTTATATAGACGGTGTATAATTTTTGGCGAGTAGTAGAGTTGGATTGACTGTCCAAAACACATCCCTATTGTTTTAAATTGCATTAATGGGAAGAGCCGTTCAGATTCAGGATATTTCATTTTACGCGCTTTTTTAAGGAACACTACCCCATTTTTGTAAATCGAGGATATCCGTGCCGTACTCCTACACTCTCGTGTCTGTGCTCCCTGCCTTCAGCCAGCAATGACCACGCGTCAAGCTCGGTAAAATAAAGTGTGGGGAAGGGCACTCATTCAGCAGTGGATTGACAAAGGGCTCCGTGTGAACTTGTATCTCATACAGGGACCTCATTACCTAGATACATGAACTAATCCTCTTTCGTGCGTGCCTGCCTGGCGAACGAGCCACGCTCGGCCTAAAAGGGTCAAGGCTATGGGTCATAAACGGTAGCATAATACAAATTCACATATTACTAAACCCATCTACAACTCGCATACACATCACCTAACAACCATACTAATATGTATCTAGGAACCTGCAGTATAAAATAAATCTTTGATAAAGGTTCCCTAATCTACAATACAAAATTACCTAGTTGTATATTTTACAGTTAAAGCTATAAGTACTATTAACCGCATCTAAACGAGTAGAATTAACCTTCATTTTGTTATAGCTTATTTTTGTTGTTGTTAGTTGAATTGCAAACTTTTTTTTAAACACACCTTGGAAAAAAAAACATCTGGAAAATTTCATAATGTAGTAAAGGTTGTCGGCTGCTTTGTAGTACAAGGGGATACTCAGGGTTAAATTTAAACCAAGTCTTGCTCGTGCTACATTTCACAAATCCAGCACCTACACAACTAAGTGCAGTGAATTTTAAGTCCACGTCTGTTTTCCCACATTAAGAGCCCAGGCATAGCCAATCAGAACCCGCTATTAAAATATTCCAAGGAAAAACACATGTACTTTCCGTAACTAAATTGGCTGGTACTCCAGTAATTAAATTATTTAAGTTAAAACCTGAGGCAAAACTGTCAAACAACGTGCATCAATGTAACCTCCCTACTATACAGCGTTCACTTAAAAGTACGATGAAAAGCCGCTGCAAAGTTTAACCATGAGCACCTAAATCACAATGCCAAGTTAAAACTGGGTGCATAAAGGCAGCTGCTCCGTCCTGCGTTTTTATTTTACACTGCATTTATGAATAAAATTTCTACCAAAACGCTACGCCGCTCGCATGCCCCACTTGGCTGCACCTGGTCAGGTGAATGCTTTGTGTTGGGGGTGGGGTGATAATCTCACGATGGTGTAAATCTTTACATATTTACATCCAAGTAACCTACATGGTCCCCAGCGTGAGGGCATGTCGGCTAAGGAGGAGAAAGCGTCGGTCACGGTGTAAGTTCGTAAGCACAGCTTGGAATGCTGACAGGATAGGTGCACTCTAAACCTAAGGCTGTGAAGGTGCACCAGCAACTACATCATGGGTGCATGCAGTGCAGGTGTTGACAATTCGACTCTTGGCACCTGGGTGTGCCCCGTAACCTCCTGCCAGCGGGCGTTTGACACCTCACGCGGCCTCAAGGTGCACATGGCCTGGCACAAGCGTCGTGGTGACGTCACCGCCACTTAGTGGCGAATGGCGGCTGTTGAAAATTTCCGGTTTAATAATTAGTATATTTGAGACATTTGCGCCATTCTGAAAGGACAAGACAATCACGAATGCGCCATTTCACAGCTGGGTAGTCTGCCAGTAACGGATATGTTGATGTGTGGCTTACTCAATTCAGTAGTTTGTCTGTAGCCTACATATACACTCGCAATGGGCATTCATCAACACTTAATGAATGGCGTTGTTGCTGCTCTGTCTTTGTGTGGGGTAGCACAAGAGTGGCCGGTCCAATGGGAGGTGATCGGGGTGGTTGTAGTCGAGGGGCGATAGTTGGCGCAGATGCATCGGGCCATCACTTGGGAGCTAAACAGCTGAGGCACATTTTACCCATAACCTCGGCTTAGCTTTGCGGCATTTATCTCGGGAGCACTCGCGAAGCGTCACCTGCTATTTGGGCACCTCCATCTCCGCTTGCACCCTCGCAAGTTGGCTCTGTCGGTCCTTTCACCTTGCCACCTCTGAATCTGCTGGAGGCTGCACCGCCAAAACTCACCGCTCGAAGCATCATGACCTATTTGTGCTGAACAACACGAGGAGAGCCCAGCTCGATGTTTTAAAGCTAAAAGACACGGCGAGACATTGTAAATCCTGTTGGACCCGGGTATGAGGTTGAATGGCCGGTCAAGTTGGTTGTATTACAGGTGGAAATTGTGGACAGCTTTTGGGGTGCTCAACCGTGTGCGCAGAGGGCACGTGTGAAGGTGCGCCTAGTTGGCAAGCGTGCTCCCGCTGCCCAGCCGCAGTAGCAGCTTCTGGCACTCGCGCAGACCGCGCTTGTCCCCCGCGCTCTCCATTGCACGCGCGGCCTCGGCCAACATGGCCTCGCGCTCGCCCGGCGCGGATAGGAAAGAGGGCGGCAGGTAGCGGCACGCCATCACCAGGGCGGAGGCGCGCTCGCGTTGCCCGGGCTGGCTGTCCCACTCGCGGCTTTCTGTAGCACCCACACACGCATGCACGCAAACGTGGGAACGCACACACATGGTCAAGCTGCTTGGCCAGACCGTGAGAGAAACCTCATGTCGTGAACCGTGGAAGACCTCCAAAGGGTTACCGACTGGTTTATATTATCATGCGCCCAATACCAGATAAACATATGATTGGTGGCAGGACACGAGACGAACCTCATGCTCAAAGGTCCGACATGCTTTCTCTGAAGGTGGTGCCAAGAATGTAAACTGTTCCCCACCACTTATTTAGCGGTAGTAATTAGTATACTGACCTCAGAGACCAACGGCTCAGCCAATTTCTGGCAGGGATTAACTAAACATGTCATATTTCGATTTAAAGCTTTCGTGACTGCAATGATTCATCTTCTTTGGTTCTTTCGGTAAAGTCACGTAGAATGAGAATAAAATAATAAATTGATAAAATAAAATAACACAATAATATTCTCACGACGTTTCGGCCACAACACAAGCGGCCTTCATCAGGTGAAGGGGGCGAGACTGTCTGGTAGGACAGCGCTGGAGTGAGAGAGCCACGTTCAGATCACGGCTTTTAAGCTGTGTGAGAGGAAGAAAGAGCCTTGACGAAGGAATTAGCATAAAATTTAGCATTGAAATGGCTGAATGATTAGCTTGTGACTAGTCACAGAAATAGCTATGTTAAAAGTTAAAGCATACACATCCGCAGAGGCACCCATTGTTAAAAGGAATTAGCATAGAATTTAGCATTGAAATAGCTAAGTTAAGGCATACACATCCGCAGAGGCACCCCTTGACAATGGGATTAGCATAGAATTTAGCATTGAAAAGGCTGAGTGATTCGCTTGTAACTGCTACAGAAATAGTTACGTTGAAGTCAGAGCATACACATTCACCGAGGCACTTAGTACAAATCAAACAGGAGAATTTAGCATTGAAATAACTAGGCGAATTTAGCATTGAAATAACTGGGTGATTTGCTAGTGACTGGTCACAGAAATGACTACACATCTGAGCTATTCACAGTACTATATAGTGAACCAATAAAAACTAAAATATAAATTACCTTCATGTTATCAATAAACTCTATATTCTCCAATCAGCTAAGCTACCAACCATAAGTCGTTATATATCACAATGCTATATGGCGAAAAAATGGGTGGATTCTTACCCTCAAATTTCCGTACCACGGATAGCTACGGGCCCCGTTCAGACGGACGAGTTCGTCCATGGTCGGAACAGAGGAGGGGGAGAGAGACAGCTGCGAAGCCCTAGTATACTCCATGTTGTAAACCATACCATTAACCGTGGTGTGAGAGGTATTAAGAGGCAATGCTGGCGAAAGAGCTGCGGTCTGAAGGTCATCGTAAAATTACAATTAATTAAGAACAGAAATGATTTAACACATCTTTCCAGTGGTTACTAAGCCTGAATCCATCTTCTCGGTTGAAATTGTCTCTGTGCTTGTATATGTGAATGGCCTCATGAACGAATCTCTCATGGTAGCCAGTTGGTTTGCAAAGAACCTCCGTCTTGGAGAAGTCAATGTCATGTGAGCCCACTGAATTGTAACAGTGATCTGCCACGGCAGAGGAGTTCGTCTTACCGTGTTTCAAGTCTGCTTTATGTTCGCGGATGCGGTCCGAGATATGTCTTTTGGTTTCTCCAATGTAGCTACTACCACAGAGGCACTTTAGTTTGTAAACGCCCGGGTACTGTATGTCTGGAAGAGCATCTTTTACAGATGGAACTAAATCACGGATTTTGTGTACTGTGTTGAATCGGACCTGGATCTTGTGTTTATTCAGGATTTTGGAGATCTTTTTAGTGACCCCTGCAATGTAGGGTAAGGTGATGGTTTTGAGTGGCTCCACAAGAGGATCCTTCTTCATGACTGGAGTGATGGCTTTGCGGATTGTGTAGTCGGAGTAGCCATTAGCCCTGAGAGCCTGGTGTACGTGCTTGAGTTCACTGGTAATGTGTTCCTGGTCGGAAATGCATTGGGCTCTATGGTATAGAGTCTTGATGAGGCAGTTCTTCTGGGATGGATGGTGGTGGGAATCCGGTTTCAAGTAAGCATCTGTATGGGTAGCTTTCCTGTAGACAGAGTGGCTCATTGAACCATCATGTCTCCTTTTAATTAAGACATCCAGAAAGGGTAGTTTGCCATCTTTTTCGACCTCCATGGTAAATCTGATGGCTGGGTGTATGGAATTGATGTGGTCGCGGAATTGGTCTAGAGCAGGCTGGCCATGTGGCCAGATGACAAAGGTGTCATCAACGTACCTCTTCCATAAGGTCGGGCGTAGAGTGGCAGTCTGGATGGCGTCAGTTTCAAATTTTTCCATGAATACGTTGGCTACAACCGGAGATAGGGGGGAGCCCATTGGGGTGCCCTCAGTTTGTTTGTAGAAAGTTCCATTCCAGGTGAAGTATGTGTTGGTTAAGCAATGTCTCACCAGGGGGGGTACATCAGTATGCAGTCCTTGATGAACCAGGTCTTCAATGATAGCGATGGTGTCAGGTACCGGGACTTTGGTGAACAAGGACACCACATCAAAACTGACAAGCAGGTCGTTTGGGGACAGGGAAATGTCTTTGATTGTCGATACCAGGTGAGTAGAATTTAGTACCGCAGAGGTGGTTTTTCCAGTGAAAGGTCGCAGTATATCAGCCAGAAAACGTGCCAGTTTGTAGGTGGGGGAGCTGATAGTAGAGACGATGGGACGAAGGGGTGTATCTTCTTTGTGTATCTTTGGAAGGCCATATAATCTTGGTGGTCTGGCAGCAGAGGGTTTCAACGAGAACTGTTTGTTCTCATCAATTAATGCTGTTGAATCAGAGATAATTTTGTTCGTTTTGGTGACCAGGCTGTTGGTGGGATCTCTTTTTATTTTTGTATAGCTGCCATCGTTGAGTAGTTCTTGAATTTTGTTGTTATATTCTGTTTTGTCCATGATGACAGTGGCATTGCCTTTGTCGGCTGAGAGAACGACAATATCATCCCTCTTTTTTAATTGAGATAATTCAAAACGTTCGTCTTTGCTGATGTTGCTAGGTGGCAACTTAGCGTTTTTGAGGGTTGCAGCGATTTCAGATCTTGCTACGTCTGCAGAGATGTGACTCAAGCCCTTGAGTGCAACGTCGACATGGGCAATGATATCATTAACCGGTAAGTGTCTCGGTGTGACAGCAAAGTTTAGACCTTTAGCTAAAACGGATTTCAGACCATCAGAAATGGAACTGTTACTGCGATTAATTACGACTTTGTTGACGTCTATCTTTTCAGTGTGTGGATCCGATTTTTTGCTGGAGAGGTGATTGAATTTGGAAATCAAATTGTCCCTACATTTGTTCGACATAGTGGCAGCCGAAGAGGTAGTCATATTGTCTACATGTTCCCAATCCGATGTAGACATTGTTGCTGTCAATTTTAAGTGTGATTTGTAGAGTGTCTTGTCTAACTGATCGAGTTTGGTGCGTGTAAGTCTGATTTTTTCCGAGATAAGAGCGAAGCTAGTTCTAGCTAGAATTCGTTTTGCATTGAGAGAAGTTGCAACAGCAGAGGTTAGTGTAAATGCGGTTGGTATTACCTTAGAGTCGCGGCATCTCTTCAGAAAGGTGAGAGACTCGATTAGTTGAGCCTTCTTATCCCGAAGTCTGTTGAATGATCTTAAGGATGTGTGGAATCCCTCCCCGTAGAGGCGGTTAAATTTCGATTTAAAGCTTTCGTGACTGCAATGATTCATCTTCTTTGGTTCTTTCGGTAAAGTCACGTAGAATGAGAATAAAATAATAAATTGATAAAATAAAATAACACAATAATATTCTCACGACGTTTCGGCCACAACACAAGCGGCCTTCATCAGGTGAAGGGGGCGAGACTGTCTGGTAGGACAGCGCTGGAGTGAGAGAGCCACGTTCAGATCACGGCTTTTAAGCTGTGTGAGAGGAAGAAAGAGCCTTGACGAAGGAATTAGCATAAAATTTAGCATTGAAATGGCTGAATGATTAGCTTGTGACTAGTCACAGAAATAGCTATGTTAAAAGTTAAAGCATACACATCCGCAGAGGCACCCATTGTTAAAAGGAATTAGCATAGAATTTAGCATTGAAATAGCTAAGTTAAGGCATACACATCCGCAGAGGCACCCCTTGACAATGGGATTAGCATAGAATTTAGCATTGAAATGGCTGAGTGATTCGCTTGTAACTGCTACAGAAATAGTTACGTTGAAGTCAGAGCATACACATTCACCGAGGCACTTAGTACAAATCAAACAGGAGAATTTAGCATTGAAATAACTAGGCGAATTTAGCATTGAAATAACTGGGTGATTTGCTAGTGACTGGTCACAGAAATGACTACACATCTGAGCTATTCACAGTACTATATAGTGAACCAATAAAAACTAAAATATAAATTACCTTCATGTTATCAATAAACTCTATATTCTCCAATCAGCTAAGCTACCAACCATAAGTCGTTATATATCACAATGCTATATGGCGAAAAAATGGGTGGATTCTTACCCTCAAATTTCCGTACCACGGATAGCTACGGGCCCCGTTCAGACGGACGAGTTCGTCCATGGTCAGAACAGAGGAGGGGGAGAGAGACAGCTGCGAAGCCCTAGTATACTCCATGTTGTAAACCATACCATTAACCGTGGTGTGAGAGGTATTAAGAGGCAATGCTGGCGAAAGAGCTGCGGTCTGAAGGTCATCGTAAAATTACAATTAATTAAGAACAGAAATGATTTAACACATCTTTCCAGTGGTTACTGAGCCTGAATCCATCTTCTCGGTTGAAATTGTCTCTGTGCTTGTATATGTGAATGGCCTCATGAACGAATCTCTCATGGTAGCCAGTTGGTTTGCAAAGAACCTCCGTCTTGGAGAAGTCAATGTCATGTGAGCCCACTGAATTGTAACAGTGATCTGCCACGGCAGAGGAGTTCGTCTTACCGTGTTTCAAGTCTGCTTTATGTTCGCGGATGCGATCCGA